CCGAAACCAGCGTTTTTGAAGGATTCCGGCATGCGCGCGCGACGACGCGCGCGCGTGCACTTCGCTTATTTTTTTTGCAAAGGACTCTCGCGACGGCACGAGCGCAAGGGCGTTCGAACGACTTCGGCATGCGCTCGCGCGCGAAGCCCGTTTGGTAGTATTTCCTGAAAATCATGAAAACGCCAATGATTTTCTTAAGAATTCGCAAGATCGCGCTTAAAACAAAAAAAACATTCGTGTTGCGAAACCTGGTGTTTTGATATCTATATGTATATATATACACATATATATATGTATATATAGATACATATGACACTCGATGTTGAAATCTTTCCGAAACCAAGAGGTTTTTGACATATTTCGGCATTTGCGCGCGAAGACGCGCGCGTGTGCACGTCGTCGCGTTGTTTGCGAGGCATTCTTGAAAAGTCATGATTCTTAGTAAACGAGTGTGCGCGCATAGTAGTTTTTTGCAGAAGATGGCCGAAGGGGGGCCATACCGGTTTGGCTGGGATCATATGAACTCACAGGTATGATGGACATTGGGTCAGAATCTGATATGTTTTGCATTGGTTCTCGGGGGGTCTGTAAGTCCGGGGGGGAAGTGTGGTATAACCTATTCTCTTCTTAAGCAGCAGAATTCTTCTTACAAGAAGAAAATGGAAAGAGGAGAATCTACGCCGCCTCTGACCAACATGCAGAAAACTGTCATCCAATTTTTGTCCGTTCGAAGGGTCGCCCGACCCTCTGGCCAGCAGCGCGGCGGCCTGTGCGCTCAGGCCGCAACCCATCGCAGTGTGAACTCGCCACGACCCCGGCGGCGCCGGCGCGTTCCCCCCCAGAAAACAGACTCGCAGAACCTGGCAACGGGACGCCTGCACTGGCGATGGCGTCGCGAACAAACAGCGCCACGCGTCTACAGACGCTGTCTGCACGATGCCTGGGCCTCGATCGACTGGAATGGGGTGGTCCGCAAAGTCGTCGAGCCTGCGGACACTGCCCGCCTCGTTGGCACAGGCGCTCCAGTCGGGCGCCATCGCATCACAGCGAACCAGAGAGTGCCGTTCGCGGGGGTCTGATAGGCCCCTACCTCCGCCTGCAGATGCCGAGCCAGCCGCGCTCCTCGTCCTTCCCCGCTGGGAGGGCCCGAATTTCGCAGCGCTCGGTGCCTCGGAAATTGATTGGTCACCTCTCCTGCCTCTGCCCTCGTCCTGCGCGTTCTCTCCCGGTGCCTGCCTCCTTCCGCCCTCCTACACCTTTCCTAAACTCTTCCGCCTTCTTCTCGCCTCCTCCGCCCCCCCACCTGCCCTCCGCCCCTCCTCCGCGGTCCCTCGTCTCCCCTTCCTTCGCCCTCATTATCCCTGCTTCCGTTTTCCTGCCCCCCTCCTTCCTCCTCTGATCTTCCTCCCTTCTTCTTCCTCCTTTCCACCTCCTCGCCCCCCCGCGCCCCCTCGCCCCCCAGTCCTCCCTCCTTTCCCACATCCCACGAGATCTCAACGAACATCGAATAGGCTGCATACCCACAGCCCAAGGACGGTGGCGGGAAGGGTCGAAGGCCACCAGATCCGCCACCTCGTGTTGGCTTGCCACAAGGGTGCCTGGCGTGCTGAACCCTGTACGGTTTGGTTATGGTTCTTTTCCAAGAGAACTCCCCCAGGGGCTTCGGCACGGCGCGCTGGCCACGCGGAAATCTCGGGGCGATGCTGTGGTCGTTGCCCATTTCGCCTCGAAGATAGCCAAGACGGCCCAAGATGACCTCTAAGACGGCGAAGATGGCCTCCAAGTTCGCCCAAGATGGTCGAAGATGGCCTCCAAGACGGCCCGAGAGGGTCCAAAATGCCTTGAAGTCTGTCCGAGAAGCCTCATGCCACGGCATGGTTTTCGGTCCTTCCAAATAAGCCCCAAACTTGTAAAACATGGCCTCCCGAAGAAACCATCGGAAGTGATTACACATTTGTAGTCGATTCGTTGATTTTTTGGGCCGCGGAAACCGCCCCCCACTTTGGGGCGTCGCCACTCGCCATGCCATGTCATGCTATGCGTTAGTCTTCAACACCATGCTATGCCATGTAATGCCATGCCGCGACATCCGTTTGTGCAAATAGAAAGGAGATGTACGCCATGGTAAGGGATGGGAGGGAGGGGTACGACGTCAGATATGACGCGAGCGCGCCTAACTTGCCCCTCCCCCTCCCCCTCCCACCCCTTTCCCCCTCCCCCTCCTCTCCCCCGCCTCCCCTCTCCTGCCTGCCCCCGCCCCCTTCCCCCTCCCCCTCTCCCCCCCCCGTTTCTTTCCTCCCTTCTTTTCTTTTCCTCCTCCTCCTCCTCTTCCTCCTCCTGCTCCTCCTCCTCCTCACTTTTCCTTCTTCTCCGCGTTCTCCTCTTCATCCCGTGCTCCCCGAAGGGTTTGCAACGACGGCTGGGGGAACACATGGTCCGATAGCTTGGCCAAACTCTAGCCCAATTCTCGGCCACGCATGCGCTTCCAACAAGGCTGGGGGCAACAGTGATTTGCCATATGCGTCTTCCATGCAACATCCGCGACACAAAAAAGGTGTTCCACGGCATCTTCCCCCTCCCCCCTCCCCGCAGCGACCCCCCCCCCTGCCCGCTCGAACGCGGCGGCGGAAATGCGCGGCAACGCAACTGGATAGATAACTCCTTCCTGTCGCGCGCCGAAGCGTGTCGGTACGGCGGGCTGGGCGTTTCGCCTGAGACGTTCTCCACATTCATGGCCCTGAAGTTTATTGCAACATCTTCATGGACGACAGGATGTGGTATTGACACGTTTTCCAAGTATATAGCACCGCGCGCATTCGTCTTAAACATATACAAGAGTTCCACGGCTGGACGGCGGTTCCTTTTCAACATGCGGCTCTCGCCATAGCGCCGCGTAAATTCGTTTTACAAGTTTGCGACAGTTTAAGACATGGAATGCGCTCGCACCTCATGGCCGCGCTACATCCTTCTTAAGAATCTGCCGCAGCCTCACGGGTGGAAGGCGGCTCCTTGTCAACATGTGGTTCTCGCCCTGGCGCACCGCACATTCGTCTTAAAAGCTTGCTTGACGTTCGCGGATGAAGGGCTGTCCTTTTTCAACTTGCGGCGGTCGCCTGAGAGCCGCGCGCGCTCGTGCTCAAACGTTGCCAGAGTTTCGCGGATGGAAGGGGGTTCGTTTTCAATCTGTGGCGGTGGCCTCAAGGCCGCCCACATTGGTCGTACAAATTAGCAAACGTTTCACGGATGGGAGCCGCTACCCTTTCAAACCGTTGCTTTCGTCTTAGCGCCGCGTGCACTCGTCTTGCAAAAATTGCGATAAGCAAGGGTTTCACGGATGGTGGGCTGGTGGTTTTCAAAATGTGGCTGTCGCCTTAGCGCCGCGCAGGATCGTCTGAACAGAATGGCAAGAATCTCAAGGATGGAGGGCGGTTCGCTTTCCAAAAGTTGCTCTCGCCTAAGCGCCGCACACATCTGTGCGAAACATGTTTGCCACAGTTTCGCAGATGGAGGGCAACTCGTTTTCAAAAAGTTGTTCTCGTCTTATGGCCGCCTACATCTGAATTTAACATGATTACAACAATTTCTGGGATGGGGGGCGGGTGGTTTTCAAGCTGTGGCTCTCGCCCCAGCGCCGCAAGCGTTAGTCGTGCAACAGTTCGACAATCGCAAAGATGGAGGGCTGGTTGTTATGAACATGTAGCTTTCGCTCCAGCGCTGCGCTACCGTCGTCTTAACGTCTGCAGTAGCTTAACGGATGGAGTGCGGTTCCTTTTCAAGCTGTGGCTCTCGCTTTGGCGCACCGCACATTCGTCTAAAAAGTTTGCGGGACGTTCACGGATGGAGGGTTCTCTTTTTTTTCGAAATGTGGCTCTCGCATGCGCACCGCGCACATTCGTCTAATACAATTGGCAGGGGTTTCACGGATGTGGGGCGGTTCCTTCTCAAATGTGGCTCTCGCCTCACGCCGAGTGCACTCGTCTTTACACTCTGTACAGCAATTTCACGGGTTCATGCGGTTGACGTCTGAGGCATGGTGCTCCAGCGCGATTGAGAACAGTCAGGGCGCAATCGTCACGTTTAGTCGCGGTGTTAAAATCCCAGGCGTGGTTCTCTGGCACAAAGTAGGGTCGTCAGGACGCAACAGTAAAGTTCACTCGCGGCGATGAAATCCAAGACATGTCTTGGCACGATTGAGGATTCTCAGACGGTTGTCTTTTAACGGGGCACGTCCAACAGTGGAATCGAAATTCTTGTATGGACCTATTAAGAGGGAATTTGGACGGATGCTTTCTTGCAACATCGTTGTTGCGTCTTGGGTTCACACTGGTCCTCCTCCTTCTCCTCCTCCTCCTGTTCCTTCTCCTCCTCCCCTCTTCCTCCTAACCCACACGAGCTATAGCGCATGATCAACACAACATACATTTGTTGGAGGTAGGGATGCGACCACCGAATCTCACAACGACACACGTCTGACGTCACAGCCTGACAAACAAAGCAGTTGGTCAGGGCGGATACTGCAGACATTATTGCACAAACAGCGTCGGAAGCAAGCGCACATACCACGCAAGACGCTCGGCGGAATCGCCCTTGGTGGCGCAGGTCGCCTGACACTAAACACAGTGAATCACCAATCGAAGGCGAGAGCGACTAGCAGCAAGCTCAGCTTACCCGTGACCCCACGGGCGCGCGGCACGATTGCTCGGCGCCCGTCTCTCTCTCTCTCTCTGGCTAGACGCCAGAAGAATAATAATAAAAAGAAGATGAGAGGAATAGTATTAAGAAGAAGAAAGAATATGAGAGGAAGAATAAGAAGAAGCAAGGACGGCATATACATGGATTTGCGAGGGTCCATGCAGATTTCTTGGATCAGCGCTGGACCCCTCCCGTCGGCGCGCGGAGCGCGCCGAGGACGACGCCAGAGGCGCCGCCTGGGGGGTCCCAGCGCCGATCCCAGGAATCTGCACGGAGCTCCAAGAATTTGTCTATGCGACTTTGTCTTCTCTCGGGGGCGACGATGGGGGCGACTAGCCCAGGGGGGAGGATCATACATGTATGCAGGGGCGCCGATGGCCCGTGCCCTCGGGGAGGCTCCCCAACGAATGCGTGCAATGCCGTCGTCGCCTCTCACTCTTCGACTCCGGCTGCCCGCCTGGCGCCGAGCGCGTCCCCTGGCCCGGCGGCAGGCGGGCGGGGCGCTCAGCAGATGGTGTTCATCTGCCGCAGCACCCTGCCGCCGGGCGGGCGCGGGCTGCGGCTCTTCTGGCGGCGCGCGGCGGAGGCGAGCGGCTGGTCGGCCCCGGGGCTCGCCGCCCGCTGCCCCGCCAGGGCGTCGCCGCTCTCCGCCGCGCTCGGCTCGTCCACGTCCATCGCCTCCCGGGCAGTGCCCAGGGGGCGTCGCCGCGAGGGGGGGGGGCTTCGCCACTTCCTCGTGGAAGCGCCACTGCCTCGAGGAGACGGGGCCCCCTGGAGCACGACAGGGCCCCAGGACGAGCCGAGACGGCCGAAGCGCGCCCACGGGGCGCGGGGATGCTGCCTCTCGTCGCCGCCGCGCTTGCTCGTCTGTTGCCTGGGCCAGGCGCCGCAGCCAGGAGGCTTTTTTTGCTGAGGCAAGGCTCCGGACAGGTGCGGGCCCCGCTCGGGACTCTCTCTTCGGCCTCCTGGGGCCCTCGCCGGGCCCCAAGGACCGTCAACAGCACGACTCGGAATACACTTCCAGCCCCTGGGAAGGCGCTCAGACCTCTGGGGGTCCGCGCTGCGTCCAAAATCCTCCTCGAACTTCGATCCTGGCACCTCGATCCTCAGGAGGATCCAGCGCCCACCTTAGCGGTGTGACCCTCCCCTGACGGCAACACGCAAGATAGACCCTAGGTGAGAGTGACCTTCACTGCGCGGATTACGGGGGCGCAAGGTGGTCAAATCCAAGCGCGCAAGCAGCCCCTATCGCAGCGCGCTCGGCGATCGGGGGGCCCTGGTGAGCCCGCACCGAAGGTCACTCTGGGGAAGGGTCACTCTTGCGTGCGACCCTCCCCTGGCACTGCCCGATCCTCCGCGACCGCGGCCCCCGGGGCGCGCGCGGGCTCCGCGCGGGCGCCGGGGGGAAGCGGGGCCCCGACGTAGAGCGCCCCGTGCAGGACGCGCGCGTGGTGGAGCGGCAGCCTGCTGGCGTTGCCCTCGATGGCGGCGCGCCGAGGAAGCGCGGGGCGGCGGGGCTCGGGCTCGGGCCCAGGCGCGGGCTCGGGCTGGGGCCCGCCCTTGGGCCTCGGCCCGGGCTCGTGGCCACAACCTCGGGCTCGGGCCGGGGCCCGGGCTTGGCCTCGGGCTCGGAGCTGGGCTCGGGCCTCGGCATGGGGGGCGGGCCTCCGAAGGGGCGGGCCTCCTCGGGAGGCCGCGCCCCCTCGCCCGCCCTTTGGCAAGGAGAGCGGCCCTGGCCCAAGGTGTCCCCGGCTCTCCGCGCCACCGCTGGGAGCCCCTGTGGCCCTCGGGCCCTTGTGCGGGGTGCCCCGGAGGAGGAGGAGGAGGGGGAGGAGGAGGAGGAGGAGGAGGGGGAGGAGGAGGAGGAGGAGGAGGAGGAGGAGGGAGGAGGAGGAGGAGAGGAGGAGGAGGAGGAGGAGCAGCAGGAGGAGGAGGAGGAGGAGGAAGAGGAGGAGAGGAGGAGGAGGAGGAGGAGGAGAGGAGGAGGAGGAGGAGGAGGGAGGAGGAGGAGGAGGAGGAGGAGGGTGGGGGCCTCCTTGGGAATCCTGGGGGCACCCAGTGCCAGGGGCGCTTCTGGCAGCGCCCGGCTCGCGCCACCACGTTCCAGACACACGCCGCAGGCCTCGCCCTCGCCGCTGTGGAGGTCGAACTGCTGGTTGTGCCAGGGGCAGCGGACGACGGCCCGCCGCCCGCCGCCCGCCAGGTCCTCCACGTCCTTGATCTCACCCTCGTTGAGGCACGCGCCCATGTGCGGGCACCTGGGTAGCGCAAAGAGGGGGCCTCAGGAGCGAAGAAGAAACAACCACGACCGCTGGGCGCTCGCCCCAAGGCCGACCCCGACCCCCCAGTGGTGATGACCTGCGCGCGGGGTCCGATTTAGAGCGCCGCACGCAGGCCATCACCGCTGGAGGGGCGGGGTCGGCCTTGGCGCGGACGACAGGTGTGATGCCCTCGGCCCAGCGGTTGTGGTTGTCTCTTCTTCGCTCATGGGCTTGGCTGCCCCGATACGCAACACGCAACGCGTGGCGTGTTGACACGGAGCTCAACACATAGACTGAACATGTAAGTCTGGCGCGACACGGACGCCAACAAGCGGCCCGACACGCGCCGAACCAACACGCAGAGTGTTGACACGGACATTGTGAACACGATACGTGCTGCGTTTCGAAGCGGGCGTGTCAGGGCAACTGAGCTCCTGAAAGATCCCCGCAGACCCAGGCGGCGCAACAGCCGCGACGGCCGGTTTTGGGACGCTTTCTGGCCCTGGATGCCGCTTCCCAGCTATGGGGCCGCTCAGCACGCGGCTCTGGACCGGGAGGAGGAGGGGGAGGAAGGGGGAGGAGGAGGAGGAGGATGACGAGGACGAGGACGAGGAGGAGGAGGAGGAGGAGGAGGAGAAGGAGGAGGAGGAGGAGGAGGAGGAGGAGGAGGAGGGGCCCCCTGGGGAAGAGGTCGAGATCCCATGGGGAGCCACGTCGCGACGGTGCGACGCCGGGGGCGAGGGCCTCACGCACGCCGGCGCGGCGACCCGACGCAGTGTCCTTGCGCGGGCCGCTGCCGCGGCGGGCCGCGTGGATGACGCGGCGCTGGCGCGCGACCTCGTGCGGGCAGCCTGCGCGCGTGAGTGCCCGCACAGGCGGCCCCGTGACTCTGCGCCGCCCGCCCGGGTGCGAGCGCCGAGGTCCGTGACCAGGGAGCACCGGCAACCGGGCCTGCCAGGCCCGCCACCGATGGCGGAAGCAGCGCCCACAGGCCTCCGAGGTGGCTTCTGGCTGCTCGAGTGCGCGTGGTCCTGTCACTCGGTACCTGACCCATCCCGTTCGGGGGAAGGTCCGAAGTTTGTCTTCCTTGACCATCACGTTCGCAAAACCACCTGGGAGCTCGAAATCTTGATCCGCATTCAACTTCAGAATGCGGAGTCCGGATTCACTTGTAGAGCAGGGCGGGTGACAATGTGAGGGTGGAGGAGGGAGAATGCGACATCTCTTGCCCAGAATTTGAAACTCGGAGTCGAGGGGGTTCGAATTCTTGGAATATCCGCAGCGAGCAGGTAGAACACATGCTCCGCATCCAGCTTCTCGAAAGGGAGGGGGGCAACAGGAGAGGACGCGGACGAGACCTGGTAAACAAGGAGAAAAAGGGGTCCTGAGGGAAGGGGGTCCGTGACTCTGAGGGTCTCCCCCGAACCCAATTTCAACCCTGGGCAGTCTTTTGACTGTCCTCGGGCGTTGCCTCTTGGGGGGCGCTGCTTGCGCGGGGGCGAATCCTTTCGCACACCTTCGGGGCCTCAGGGGGCCCATTCAGGGCCGCTTCCCTGCCACCCTTGATGCCCTCACAATCGACCGCCCCTCCGTGACGGGATGCCCAAGGTCCGCCAGCGGTGGGGCGAACAGATTGCGGAAAGCTAACATGACCTTTTCTCGTCCTGGCGAGGGGAGGGAGGAAGCTGCTCTTCCGGGGGTGCCAAAGGGGTGCGGTGATAGACCCTGAGGTGACCTCGGAACCTCCAACGGCCTCACCGAACGGTCTGTCACCGCACTGTTTTGGGACCTTTCGGAGGTCCCAGCTGCCAGAAACATCCTCGAAGACCAATTTAAATTGCAAAACCGTTCGGTCACCCCAAATCCCCTCTGACTCACCGCACGGTGTGGTCACCGCAGGGTTTGGGAATCCCCGATGAGAGGAGGAAGAAAGCCACTCTTACCCAGAGGCTGGAGTCCGATGTCGACGCCAGCGAAGGATCCAGAGCCCAGGTGCAGAGTGCGGAGGCCAGCTGACAGGCGCGCAACGACAGCAAGCTCAATCCCGCTAGGACTTTGGGGTCCAGAGGCCTTTCACAGAGCCTTGCAAGGCCCGATGAGGACGAGGAGGAGGATGAGGAGGAGGATGAGGATGAGGAGGAGGAGGATGAGGGGATATGGAGACGGTAGCGAGCAGGGAAGCGGAAGAGCGGGAGGTGGACGAGAAGGAGGAGGAGGAGGAGGAGGAGGGGGAGGAGGAGGAGAAGGAGGGGAATGGGGGAGCAGGAGGAGGAGGGTGAGTTTGAGGAAGACGAGAGGTAAGAGAAAACTGAGGCCGGATGATGACAGTCTGTGGCCTCTGGAGGCCTCCCATGCCCCCCCGTGGCTGCCACTGGGCCTCGGCAGGCTTCCCAAGGCTCGTGCCTTCAAGCCTCGCCGCCGTCAGCCCGAGGTGCCGAATCGATCAGACCCAGGCTTAATTTGGCATGCCGGCCTGAGACGACAGAGCCGCTGCGGCCCCGTAGCTCCAAGAAGGCCTCCGATGCTCCAAGATAGCCTCCACGACGGCTCCACATCCTCCTTCCTCGCCTTTCCTTGCACGCTCTGTTTCACTGCATGTGTCTCTTCTCTCCAGGGCTTCTGAATGGGCTGGTGGGGATTCGCGACGCGAGAAAGATATTGGGCTTGCCAGGCTGATGCGACAGAGCCACTGCGCAGGAGAAATCCTCTGCTGCGAGCCTGGAACCCGAGAGAGTGAGACTCTTGTGTCTCCAGGAGCGTGGGCGCCGAGCGGCCGCGACGATGATGCTGGGCTCGAGCTCCTCCAACGACATGTCACGGAACTTCCGCGGCAGCTGCAGCGGGGCCTTCCTGCCTACGTTCACGATGACCAAGACCTGAGCAGGGACGGTGGGGGGGGGGAAAGCAGATCTGGGGGGCAAACCTCGCCCTGGGATCGGCGGTGCATCGCCGACAGATCGGCCAGGGGCCCCCCGGTGACGCATCCGCACGCTCCTGGGCGGGGTGGGCCGTCGGACCCCTCTCGGGGCCGATGCGCCCCTCCTCGAGCCCGCCCCCCCCCCCCCGACGTGGTCCCCGGTGACCTCGTCGCCAGACGGCAGCCGCAGCTGCCTGCCGAAGCCCGTCCTCGCGGCCTCGGGCAGCCCGGGGGTGGCGGCCGGATCGCGCATGGCCCTCGCAGCGTCGTTGCGCTGTTTGGGGCCGTAGGACGGCAGCGTGTGGCGCGGGTCGCCCGAGTCGCTGATGGACGGCACCAGCTGCCGCCGCGGCCGGGGCATGTTCTGCAGGACGTGCTCGAAAGCCTCGAGCATCGTTTCACAAATCCCCATCCCCGCTGGCACGGCCTTTGGCTCCACTGGCCGTCTTAGCCTCCTGGGCGGGGCACGTGCTGCTCCCTTCGGATTTTTCGGGTGGTCCATCCCCGCCTGGGGGGGTGGCTGGTGGGGCTGAGACACCATGGCCCAGTGGGGATGGGGATCGGTTAGACGATGCTGAGGCCTGGATCCACGCGCGCCCGTTCGTCAGCTGGTCGGCCCGCTCGACCTCCAAGGAATCAGGCAGCATCGGACTGGGAAGCCGCATCGGATCGGAACGTGCGTCGGAGTGGCCCGCATCGGCTCGGAGCCGGAATCCAATCGGGTCGGCCGCGCCGCGATGCACAGCAACGCCGTGCACCCAGACATGCTCGGAGATGCTCTTCAATCCACGGCCCCAGAGCTCCCGACCCCTCCCCCAGGGCTGGCTGCGCGCCCCGAGCAGGGCCCGAAAAAGCGGCATCCCGAGGTCGAAGCGAAACGAGAGCCCGAGATCGACACCGACACACACAGCGTCGGAGGCCTGGGCGGGCCGCGGGCCATCTCGCATCGCCACGGCGCCGGGGTCCGGCCGGGGCCCGTGCGGGCCGGGCCTCGGTGCGGTAGAACCGCCAGGCCGCGCCCGTGGACGGGCACACGTCGTCCAGGAACGGCGGCGCGGGGCCGGGCGCCGTCGGCGGCGCGGCCATGCCGCCCGGTGCTGGGCGTCGCGGGGCGCGGTGCGCCGGTGCCCCCGCCCCCGCATGCGCCGCGGCCAGGGCATGCGGCGGCCTGCGCGCGGGCGCCGCGCCCGAGCCAAAAGGGCTGCCCCGCCGGGCAAGTTCGAGGTCCCCCGAGCTCGGGCCCTGCGTCCCCCCCCCCCCCCGAGGCTCCTCTGGCGCTCGCGCTGATGGCATCAGATCCGAGTGCGGTGCTGCCCAAGCCCCGCCGGCGGACATCGCTGCTGGGGGTCTCAAGGAGAATCGCGAGAAGGAAATATTCACTGCGTGGAGCTCCCCATATGTGCATCTACTCGCATGGACCTGTCCGCCGTGAATGTCTAGGCGCAAGAGCTTTCGAATATTAACAGGCTTCAGTTGTGACGGTCTGGACATCAATCTAACTGCGAATGAATTGGAGTGTGAATGAGCCTCAGTAGTACGAGCGCGTCTCTGTGCATGAGCCTGGGGCCTCCTGGGGCCTCCTGAAACCTACTGGGGCTTCCTGGGGTCTCCAGGAGCCTCTTGGGACCTCCTGGGACCTCCTAGGAAGGTTTCGTGCCCCAGGAGAGGCGCAATCTATAGCAACAGACGTACATAAAACATTGCGGATTAGAGCCACAGGAGAAGGGCAATCTATAGGAACACGCGTAAAACACCAAGGACTCGTGCCCCAGGAGAGGCCCAATACATAGGAACATGAGTAAAACATTTAGGATTGTGTACACAGGAGAAGGACCATCTATAGAAACATACGTAGAACATCAAAGAATCGTGCTCCAGGTGAGGCCCAATCGATAGGAGCATACGTAAAACACATGGGATTGGAGCCACTCCTGTTGCCTTCTGAGGCCTCCTGCTCCTGGGGCCTCTCGGGGCCTCCTGTTGCCTTCCGAGGCCTCCTGGCGCTTCCTGTTGCCTCCTGGGGCCTCCTGTGGTTTCCTGAGGCCTTCTGGAGCTTCCTGGGGCCTCCTGGAGCCTCTTGGGACATCCTGTGGCCTCTTGAGTCTTTCTGTGGCCTCCTGATGCCTCCTGGTACCTCATGTGGTCTCCTGGGGCCTCCTGGAGTCTGGCCCACCTGGGGGGTGAAAATTAGCGCCTCGCTCGAGACATCCTCCAAATCTGCTCCGAAAGCGAAGGATTTTGGGCCCAGAAACAAGCAAACCGCCTGAGACATCCCCACAAAATGGCCGCGAACGAGCCCGTGCAACCACCCCTGGCGGCTCCCCTTAGGGCCACGAGCCTGGCCACCAAAACAAGCAAACCGATCGAGACATCCTCAAAATCTGGCCCACCTGGGGGGTGAAAATGAGCGCCTCGCTCGAGACATCCTCCAAATCTGCTCCGAAAGCGAAGGATGTTGGGCACAGAAACAAGCAAACCGCCTGAGACATCCCCACAAAATGGCCGCGAACGAGCCCGTGCAACCACCCCTGGCGGCTCCCCTTAGGGCCACGAGCCTGGCCACCAAAACAAGCAAACCGATCGAGACATCCTCAAAATCTGGCCCACCTGGGGGGTGAAAATGAGCGCCTCGCTCGAGACATCCTCCAAATCTGCTCCGAAAGCGAAGGATGTTGGCAAGACAAACAGGCAAACCGCCTGAGACATCCCCCAAAACGGCCGCGAACGGGACCGTGCAACACCCCTCGGCGGCTCCCCTTAGGGCCACGAGCCTGGCCACCAAAACAAGCAAACCGATCGAGACATCCTCAAAATCTGGCCCACCTGGGGGGTGAAAATGAGCGCCTCGCTCGAGACATCCTCCAAATCTGCTCCGAAAGCGAAGGATGTTGGCAAGACAAACAGGCAAACCGCCTGAGACATCCCCACAAAACGGCCGCGAACGGGACCGTGCAACACCCCTCGGCGGCTCCCCTTAGGGCCACGAGCCTGGCCACCAAAACAAGCAAACCGATCGAGACATCTTCAAAATCTGGCCCACCTGGGGGGTGAAAATGAGCGCCTCGCTCGAGACATCCTCCAAATCTGCTCCGAAAGCGAAGGATGTTGGCAAGACAAACAAGCAAACCGCCTAAGACATCCCCACAAAACGGCCGCGAACGGGACCGTGCAACACCCCCCGGCGGCTCCCCTTAGGGGTGCTGAAACCAGCGCCCCGCCTGAGACATCCTCGCAATCTGCTGTTTATCGAATAAGTCAGACAATGAGAAGGTCTGAGTATGAGTAATTCTGAGTATGAGTAAGTCTGTGTATGAGGAACTCTGAGTAAAAGGAGGAGGAGAAGGAGGAAGTCTGAGTATGAGTAAGTCTGAGTATGAGTAGGTCTGGGTATGAGTAGGTCTGAGTATGAGTAAGTTAATGTGATCAGGTCTGAGTATGAGTGAGTCTGTGTATGAGTAAGTCTGTGTATGAGTAAGTCTGTGTATGAGTGAATCTGAGTATGAGTGAGTCTAAGTAGGAGGAGACGAGAAGAGGGGAGGAGGAGAAGAAGAAGGAGTAGGAGGCGTCCAAGTAATAACAAGAACCCCATCTTAGGATATGGGGAACAAAAAGTGGCCCCGCCCACTGGGCGCGGTCTGCGCTCGAAAGGCGAGGCTGGGCCACAAGCTTACTCCGCCCCAATTTGGGTGCCTCCTGCTCTTCCTCCTCCTTCCTCCTCCTCCTCCTCCTCCTTCTCCTCCTCTCCTCCTCTCCTTCTCCTCCTCCTCCTCTCTTCTCCTCCTCCTCCTCCTCCTCCTCCTCCTCCTTCTTTCTCCTCCCTCTCCTCCTCCTCCCCTCCTTCTCCTCCTCCTCCTCCTCCTCCTCCTTCTCCTTCTCTCTTCCTCCTTCTCCTTCTCCTTCTCCTTCTCTCTTCCTCCTCCTCCTCCTCCTCCTCCTCGGACCCTCTCGCATCCTCCATCCGTTCCCCCTCTCCACGCCGGGTCAGGCCGTGCAGGCCGGAGGAAGAAGAACGAGGCGAGAGGAGCCCGCCTCCTATGGGAGGGGCGACGAGGCGATCAGCGGTATCGTTGAACAGGCCGGGCAAGCGGCAGGGGATAGCGGCTGGAAGTCAAGGCAAGGAAGGGAAGCCATCTGATCTGTGAAGCCGGGAGGGGACAGAACGGGATGCGAAGCCCATCGTCGGTGCGCCGGCGAAAACAGCGTTGAGACAAGTGCGTTGCCTCTTTTGAAGGGTCTGCTGAAGGAGTGCGCAGTTGTCTTCGCGCGCGGGACGAGGGGGGCGAACGCTGTCTGCGAACCCCTTGGCTAGTGGGCGAGCGTGGTCTGCGCACTCAGGGGCCCACGCCTTCGGCCGTTGCTTGCATTTGCGGCTGACCACCGTTGCAGTGACCCCTGGATGCGCAGCGGGCGCGGGATCAACAATTGCGCTGGGCGAGGAGCAGCAGGAAGCGGCTGCCCCGGCACAGGCTGGCCATCCCGTGCGACTTGTCGTGGCCGCCGCTCACCTCCACCGTGCGGTCTGCGGCCCGCGCTGCGGCCCCCGGGCTCTGCGTGCTCACCTCCTGGAGGAGGCCGTCGGTGAGTGCGACAATCGTTGAGGGTGGTGCCACCTCCAGTGTCCATGCGGAGTCCAACCTAGAGTCTGGGCTGCCTGTTGAGGGCGACGAGGACATCGAGGCTGAGAGTGGCGGTCTCGGCTGAGACGGCGCCCCCCCCCCCCTTGCGCAGGACGACTTTGTAACTATCAGGGTTTGCTGCCTCTTTGCCAGCGCTGCGGGGGCAGCGATCGGTGCCTCGTGTGCGAGCTGCCGTCCGTGAAGTTGTCGTCCGTCTGTAGCGCGTTCTCGGAGTGGGCCTTGGCAACGGCTGCTCCCCGAGAACCCCTCGCGGGCACTGCCCCCGGAAGCGTCTTCTCGGCGGGCGCAGCCGATGCTCCCCTAGGAGCTCTCGCCGGTACCAACCCTTCAGGCGTTCACGGCGGTAACAGCTGCTGCTCCCCTGGAAGGTCTCGCCGGTACAGCTGCTCCCTCAGGAACTCCCGGTGTCTGCCAACCGCTGGTGGGGTACTTCATGTCGTGGTCGGGGGCTCCGCTCTCTCTTACCTCCTCCTCCTCCTTCTCCTCCTCCTCCTCCTCCTCCTCCTCCTCCTCCTCCTCCTCCTCACGCGTTACGCGAGCCACGCCGCCGCCGACACCGTCCTGAGCTGCAAGGCTACTGGCAATGCTTCGCGCTGCCCGAGGCCGACCACGACGAGATGGAGCGACCACACCGTGGAGACCCACGGGAGGAGCGGGTTCATCAACGCGGGGCCTGTGATCCTCGGGCCGCGGCGAAGCGACGACTCGCCCACGCGGCACGGAAGAGCACAGACATCGTCGCGCTTTCGGCCGAAGGCCCTGGCCGTGATTCCGGCCCTCAGGGCAACCAAACCTACCAGAGAGACAACCGGGACGCCTGCACCTACGCCAGCACCGTGTCCTCCGCCGATGCCGCTACCACCACCGGCACAAGCAGCCCCAACCGGCACGGCCTGGAGTTCGCCACCGCTCCGCGCTGCAGCCGCTCCGCGCTGCACGGCCTGTCCACATGTTGGTCGACGCCAGCGCCTACACCGTCATCTCCTCCCCTCTGCCTCCTCCTCCTCCTCCTCCTGCTCCTCCTCCTCTTCCTCCTCCTCCTCCTCCTCCTCCTCCTCCTCCTCCTCCTCCTCCTCCTCCTCCCCTCTGCCTCCTCGTCTTCCTCCCCCTCCTCCCCCTTCTCCTCCCCCCCTGCCCTGCTCCTCCTCTTCGGGAGACGCCTTCGTGGCCTCGGGGCTGTCAGAGAGCAGTTCAGGACAGAAGACGCCGGAGGAGGGTCGAGAGAGCAAAAGGGCCACGTACTGAGGAGGATGTTTTTGCCCCCGCGTGGCCCTAGCTGCAGTCATCTGGGCAAGTAGTCTGACCAGCTAGGCGCGGTGGCGACCGCAGGCAGAGGGATCTTCTTAGTCGCGGCGCTGGCGGTCGCTGAGCGAGGGGTGGCCTAAACGGGTTGCGCATTGGCAGCAGGGCTGGAGCTAAACAGTGTTATTCGTTTTCGTTGTGCTTCGTTCTGTCTTCGTTCTGCCCTTGCTGCGAAACGACATCAAAACGGAAACGGTCCAAGAAATCGCCCAAACCCACCGTTCAGCTCGAGCCCCGACTGGCAGAAT